ATATATGCTATTTCGCTTGCATTGTGTAACTTGGCATGGAGTCCGAATCTTCTGGCAATCGAAGGCTGAGGTAAACTATTGATTCGTGTGGCTTAGGTGCCACCAGGACATCTGTCGCAAAAAACAGTGAAGTCGGCTATGCGGACCGATTACTTGACCAAGACGCATTTGTTATTCCAACATCTCCTCAGCTGTATTCCATCATCTGGCGGTCACTGAATCTATAAAGTGTTGTTGTATAGGTTGTCAAGCACAGTTCTCATACATGTCTCGATAGACTCAAAGTCTCGTATGTCGAGAACTTATTCAACTGTTTGCAATGTTTGGTATAGTCTTTCAAACCAAATTTACACGACTTTTTCGAGCCTCAGTGGGTTGCAAGATTGTGTCGCTGACCGCGACATACAACGTCCCCAATGGCTGTGAAGAGACTCAATATGTCGTCTCCAACTCCGGACAATTCACCAAAACACAAGAAAACGAAAACAGATAGTTCAATGACATCTAAAGCTGGTTCTGTGGATTCCGATGGTTGGACAAAGGTTGAGAAGCGAAAACAAAAGAAGGTGAAGAAGGCTGAGTTGAAATTGGATGTGTGTGTATTTCTCTCTTTATCCAAGCCGTATGCGAACTCGCAAGATGATGTCTAATTCGATTATTAGTCCACACAGCCCCGATTTATGTACAACAACGCTGAGATCACGAGGAGGAACCATGCTATCGGCATTGATGTAGGTCTTCCAGATTTCCTTTGTCGAAATACTCAACCTTTTTGACAGGAAATCCGTCAACTTGTCGTGCATATTATCGCGGATGGACCTCCACCGAACTGGTTACGTATCGAGGTCAGTGATCTTTTGTGCTCTCAAGCGATAGATCCATCCTAATTACTTGTAAAAAAAAGAACGCTCCACTTATACAGAAAGTCGTAGTCTTACTCATACCAGGATTGACGTCGGAAGTTCTGTCACTGCCCCCAATTCCTACATCCGCGACCGTAAATCCCAATATCCCATTATCAATACCGCTCTTGCCAAGAACGCCTGACGCAGGTCCTCCGCCGAATGTTCCCTTCATCGCCGCGACATTCAGTCACGCTTGCCCGACACGTGCACCAGGAGACCAGTTTCGCATGCACAGTGTCCTCGGCACCTTTTTCCAAGGGCCGGTCAGTGGGGAGGAGAGAAATAAGCGTGCAACCATGAGACTGCTATGTATGTCCCTTGTGAAAACGAAGACATCCTTGCTCACCTGTTGACACAGCAGAAAAGGCTAATAACCAAGACCCCGCGCAGTATCTCCTGACACTCGAACAGATGGTTGAGAATGAATACCCCATACCGTCTTATATGGCGGATGTCTTCGAAAAGCCCGATGATGTTTGGCTCGAGACTCCAGAACCCGTAAAACCGGGTTTGCTTGATGGCCTTCCCGAGAAAGGGAAAGAACTACCTAAAGCGAAGATTTATGCTATCGATTGTGAAATGGCGAGTTCCATATTGTATCTTCACAATATCAGCTAACCCTCGCACCCATCCCAGTGTATGACTGAAGACGGCAAGGAGTTGACCCGAGTTAGCATCATTGATTATTACACTGAGAAAGTGGTCTACGATCAGCTAGTGAGGCCGGCAAAGCCTGTCACAGATTATCTGACTCGGTATGTCCAAACATGCATAACCAGCTGTATTTTTTGAATCCATTCTTTATCCAGCTGGTCGGGTATCACGCCCGAAGCACTTGCGCCAGTTACCACGACACTAGCTCAAGTCCAGACGCACGTTATGCGTCTCCTCTCACCGCCACCCAAAAATCCTTTCTCGACTTCCCTCTCTCAACCGCCACCGACCCCCATCCTCCTCGGCCACTCCCTTGAATCCGATCTCAAAGCACTCAAGATCTGTCACCCCCGCTGTATCGATACCGCACTTATGTACCACCACCCACGCGGGCGGCCCCTCAAGCCCGGTCTGGCATGGCTCACCAAGAAATGGTGCGGGCGTGAGATCCAGACGCGGGGTGATGGAGGACACGATCCAGAGGAAGATGCGCGGGCATGTGTTTCGCTGCTGCAGAAGAAGCTCGAGTCCGGGCCTGGCTTTGGGGAGTTCAAAACCGATATGGAGTCGATATTTGAGCGGATGGCGCGCTCGACCCGTCGTGCGGGGGGTCCGGTTGGGAGTATAAGGAGCGCAGTAGTGGACCACGGGAACCCGTCCGTCATGCATGGTCATAAGGCGACGACAGCGTTGGGATGCACTTCTGATGCGGAGGTACTGAAAGGACTATTGGAAGTCATACCATCACATGAGTTCGTGTTTGGGAGGTTTATGGCACTGGCTGATGCCATGAAGTGTAAGTATTTTTTGCCATTAACTATTTTCCGTACTCATGTTCGTCAACTCGTAGGGACAACACCAAAATCGTCATCGGATGCTCCCCCTCCCCCACCTTCCGAGCCTCCTACACCTGAGACCCTTAAACTCATATTTGAGGCACTAAATACTCGGCTGAAAACGCTGCATGCAGCTTTGCCTCCACGGACCGCTCTAGTGATTTTCACTGGTCATTCGGACCCTCGCCGCATGGCACAACTTGGTGCCAGGAAGATGGCATTTGACAACGCTCTACGGAGCGGAAAGACACCAGATGGAATGAGTCCTGATTTACGGTGGACATCTAGTGATATGCGCGACCTTGAAGGGGCGGTCGAGCTGGCAAAGAGAGGGTTGTTGTTCCTAGGGATCAAAGGGTAGATGTTAGTGTTTCGGGTATCATGATGTCTAAAGAGCTTTGGAACTTCTGAGGACGACTTTTGGAACAGTGCGAGTGTTCTTGGGCGTTGCGCTGTTATCGTACTACCTGGGATAAACTGATAATTTTTGAGTTTCCAAACGTTCGACGTAATACCATAGTCGTGAAAAAAAACCTTAATGTCAACGCGCGTTCTGAGGGCAAGGAGCCTCCGTCATCACCTCCCTTGACATTTATCCCCACATGCGGGCAGGAGGCTGTTCGCGGATGCTATCAATTCATATTCAATTGCTGAGAAGACTTCCTTCCTTGGGTACAAATATCGAATGGAAGTGACAACCTTGAATTCAAATAAGTGTTCGAAATCTTCGCTAGTATATCGGTTAGTACACGCGCCTGTCATGGTAAAATGGTTTGGACACATGGCGCGCGAAAGCTGGGTTCGACTCCCAGGCGAAGAGTTAAACATTTTCGAAGTTTTAACTTCATTCCATACTTTTCTCGCTAGACCAATATTGCGGCGGGTAGAGTCACTTCAATGCATTCATTTCTTACGACTCATGCCCCAAGACAAGTGCAGACAGAACATGAATCTAATATCAATGCATTTACTCACTACATCTGCTGGCATATTTCCAGACGTCTTAGCCTGGATATACTGAACAATTCAGGCCCTCAGGACCAAAATGTCCCGTTGAAGACTGTCAATCCGGACTGGAACGCAAACGTAAATTGGCAGAGAGAGCAAGTAAGTCATGGATGTGAGTGCATTGATGCTTTTTCGGACTCATTCGATTGAATGTTTTCGGTGCAATTGCCTCATCTACTAAGATCTATTCGGACTCGGAGTTCCGTAATACTGTATGTGTTTGGTGTGAATTAGGTTCGATCAGTTCTGTTATTTCCCCACGGCCGATCTCATCGTAACCACGCCCTCCACCGTGAATAGACAAAACATCTCTCTCTGGATGTTCCTTGAGCCCCTTTTATTGGAAATGGTCAGTATGTCACACACTCTGCAAATAGAAAAACAGGACTCGTAAAGGACGCGCGCGCAGCCCACATCTGCGATCCAAAAGTATACTGCACGAGAAGAGCCATTCCATTTTTACAGGGAAAAACGAGCAGAGAAAATCCGTTGATTACATCCCATTTTCGCGTGAGACTTTTATACGTCTCAAGTATTGTAAGATACCTGTCCAGCTATATATGTAGCTTATGGAGATATGGAGATGCTGTGCTGTAATACAGGCTTACACGTATATCCGAATGATGTTCCTTCCTTCTCGCTGCGTTCAGGTGCCAGCTGCGGAAAGGTCACTGGGTTTCTCTCTCTCTCTCTATTCGCTCAAGATTCACCCACGGCTCATTCTATTCGCAGGCGAAAACGGGATTTTTCGGCCGCATAATCCACGGCACTATGATATCGACTCGAGAAACCCTTGATCGATCTTGCCAGCGTCAAAGCGCTCATGCCAGGATGACTCGGAAAAGGTCAGTGCCTGCATTCCAACCAATATGTGGCAGATGAGTATCTTCATGGACAGATGACTATCCGATATAAGCGGTGATGAGCGCTACGGGATGGTCGGTGTTGCAAATGCCGAGTCTTCTACCTAGTTGATTTGATTAGGTTGAGCCGGTCACTGATAAACCACTGTGAAATGTCTGGTCCTGGGTAGATCATTCCAAATCAATCAGCTAGTAAGTATAGTACACCTATGTCGAGATGGGATTCATCTTCTGAATGGAAAACTATGTTACCATCACAATGATGGCTAGCTAATTACGTTTCCAGCCCGACTAGCCCACTTGCAGTGAGAAGTGATGACAGATGGAAACATAAGGCAACCTATTTTTATCTTACCAATATGACAAGTATGACTTGAACAGGGATCCAATCTGTGTAGATCTCCCTTCAGGATGTGGTCACGGTTGCCTGACATAAACCTGTTATCATATTGAAAAACTCGCTGTGCCCAGTCTACTAGTACGACCAGTTCTGGTCATGTTTCTCATTGTAGCTCGGACCTGATTGTCAAGTCACTGGCAACCTTTTGGTGTTTCCTCATAGAGAAGATTACAGGTCCCATTTCCTTACATCAACGTTCTCCGCAAAGTATCCATCCTCAACAAGCTTTTCTGCGCGCTCCCAAATGCCGGGCGTCGTTCCTCGGATGGAACTTTCCCAGTTGTCGATCGTTGGCGAATACTCCACAAGAACCATTCTGCGATCACCGATTTCCTGGATCCGCTGCGCAATCACAGGCGCAGCTTTGAAATACGGTGGAACAACCACGATGAAATACCTGAGTTTCGCAGCCAACTTTAGAAGAGGCTGTGTACTACCCCAGTTTTGCGAGCATGTCGCGAAGTGGGTCAGTGACATGAAAGGATGAGCCGTGGTGCCAAGGCACCCGGATTTGATAGCATTTTTGGCATTCCGTACAGCTTCACGCATCTGAAACCAGCTATACGGTCCGTCGAGGATCGTTAAATGTGACAGATTCGCAAGGAGAGTCGGCGGGAAGCTGAGTTCGGCGCAATGTGTAGATTTGAGTGAAAGCTGGCGGACAGAGTGTGATCGGATGAACGGTAGGGCTATTGAGGGATTTCGTGCATTCGTATAGACAGCGAAGTTCACGACGCTTTGAGAACATGCAGCGAGGATGGCTTTGGATTGCTGGAGCGTCACAGAGTCGCCGATCGCCAGACTTGTGACAATCGGGCTGAAGAAACCTTGTGGCCTGACGACTATGGTCTCGAAGAAAGCTTCTGCGTGCTGTTGACTACGAATTATGATACATTTGTAAAGTATAGGTTCGATCCTGCACCAAGAAATATGTGAGCGACGAAAAATCTCGGCGCTTGACGTGGACATACCAGGTCCGCACATTACGGGAAACAAGGATAAGCTGACGGGCGACGGTGTCGTCTCCCCTAGCTGCGGTCTCAAAGATCATGCGCTGTAGTTCGTCGGGAACACGACCTTGTGCTGTACCATCGACAACAAGCATCGGAGTCATCAATAGCTCTGCTTGCCGTCGTCAAGTGTATTTGACTTCTCCACATCATTGTCCATGCTCAAGTCGAGACACGTGGGTATCTATTGCCGAATTGAGGTTTCGAATATTTTTACTCGAGGACCTCTGACACAACGGGCTTTGAAGGGATTGTCAGGGATGTGCGAAGATTGTAGCTTGGCAAAAACAACTTGGCAGCCAATCCTGAATTTTAGTGGCTGTGCAGACCAGCGTTCAACAGACACGTCGAAGAAACATTGCCAGCTTTCTAGATGTCATAAAGCGTACTCAGATTGTCCGTTTCTATCATTAGTTTGCGCCTCGTGAGGACTGAGGTACCGCAGCATGTATCAGCCTCTTGCCGTCTTCGGCAGTGCGCTCGGACTGCGCATTGGCTGTTTCCACACGACATGATCCAATCATGGCTCACAAGTCTGCCACCTTGGTTGCGAACTTGTGATGAGGGTCAATTGTTCCCGTGGCCCCATTTGGTATATTTTTTTGCTGTGGACAGCCTTAAGGGGGCGTTTCCTTGGCTCTCCACTCGTTATATAAACATCCCTCTTCCCGTCTTTTTTCGTTTTGTACTCATACCTCGACGGCTCTCTCCACTATGGTCCCGCCCATCCTCTCCATCTCCCTTTTGACCCTCTTCCTTCTTCCTCCCTTGTCAGCGGCTGATCCGCTCCATATTTCTCTTTCTCGTCGTGCTGGTGCTCGTCACGACCTTTCGTATTATGCTAAAGCTGCAGAAAATTTGCGTGTAAAGTATGGCAGGACAAAATCATCCAAGGACCGGCGAGCGGTTGCTGGAATCATTACGACAAATCAGGTGCGTTCGTGCTATTCAGCAGTCCTAGACATGTTGCTTATTTGTGTGCTCGGAAGTAGGATGTGGACTCAAGTTACTATGCCTCGATTAACATCGGCACACCACAGTGAGTAGTTGATTTCTTTCTTCACCGCCTCCTTGGTTGGACACGATCCCGGCGTCCAAGCACCATTCACATTGCGATTGTCGTTCGTGATCCACGTGGTACTCATATATTGATGGTTGCATCGATGATCCATCTTTTCCCCTTTTGTATGCTATTGCTAATTATGTACATGCCTTAACAACGTTCTCACAGACAAACGTTCAATGTTATCCTGGACACGGGATCTTCAGACCTATGGGTGGCAGACTCTACCTGTTTCAACTGTAATTCACGTGCCCCGCAATTCGACAACTCGAAGTCGTCTTCTTTTACATCTTCCCAGCAAAACACCCGGATTCAATATGGCTCTGGGGAAGTTGTGGGACAGATCGTATCAGATACAGTCAGCATGGACATATTCACGGTCACGAAGCAGACATTCCGTAAGTGAAATATCATCTCCGAGTTGAACGTGGAGCGTTATGAGTTGACTTGTGGACCAGTTGCCGTTGATGAAGTGTCAAGTGGGTTACTAGATGGTAACGTGTCAGGTATTTTGGGGCTAGCGTTTACCGGACTTGCGTCAACGAAGTCAACACCATTCTGGCTTGCCCTGACCAACAACAAGCAGCTTGACAGTCCGGAGTTTTCTTTCTTCATTACGCGCTTCATCGATGACCCAGGCGTGAGACGAGAAGAATTTGGAGGATTCTTTACTCTGGGCGGCACCAACTCCACTCTGTTCTCGGGTGATATTGATTTTCAGAAAGTACCTAGCGGTGACTCTAGTTTCTGGTTACTTCCACTGAGCGGTGCGTGGCATATTCTTGTCTGTTGCTCGTATTTACGTTTGATGATTTCAGCTGTAACTGTACAAGGCAAGGAAGTATCCATTGCTACTGGTGCTTCAGCTTTGGCAGCGATCGATACTGGTACCACGCTGATCGGAGGACCATCGGACGACGTTGCAGCCATCTGGGCTTCTGTCCCTGGCTCTCAACTTATTCCCTCGATGCCAGGGTTCTTTTCATTCCGTAAGCCTTATCCTTGCTATTAGTTGATGCCTTGGCTCAACGCATTTCTAGCCTGTGGTACCAATGTCACAGTCACCCTGTCTTTCGGTGGAAATGCATGGCCTATCAATTCGGTTGACATGAATCTTGGTCCAGTCGGCCAGCGAAATAACCAATGTGTCGGTGGAATTTTCGATCTCGACGCCGGAAGTGATGTTGACAGTGGAGGTGGAAACCCATCCTGGGTTGTTGGTGATGTCTTCCTCGTGCGTCACCTCTCTTGCGTCGAGTGGTATCGTATAACAAAGTTTTCTTACGTCTCCAGAAAAACGTGTATTCAGTCTTTCGATCGAACCCTCCATCTATCGGATTTGCTGCACTATCTACCGCGGCGGGAGGCTCAGGTGCGCCTCGAGCATCTTCAGCCGACCCCGTACTCACGGGGAACTCTACACCACCCACCTCCCTTCCTACTTTCACATCACTCACAACATCTATCATGCCATCC